AAAATAAATAAAATTGAAAAAAAAAAAGTTTAAAAAATACTTGGGAAAAATATGACAAATTATCATAAAGCAAACTGTGTGGCAATATGTTCAATATCTAGCTTGAAAGAAATCTGGTGATTATAAGTAATTCACTGTCATTAAAGAAGTAACATATACTCAGCATTAAAATTAAAAGACAAATCTAATACTTGATCACCTCTCTATCAAGAACCTGATGAGGAGTTAAGGATGTAGATGAATGGTAGAGTACTTGTCTAGCATATGCAAAACCCTGGGTTCAGCCTCTAGTAGCTGAGAAAAACTCATGACACCGAGAAGGAGCCTGGAAAGTGTTGCCCTTTTGCTGCCACCTATCCTATTTTATTTGAATACAGCCCATTATTCCTATGTCTATTAGCATGGAGATGAATGGTTGACCACAGAAACCTCAAAGATCACTAATCATTTAGCATCAAGGCCCTTTGCTAATAATGTTCACCAGTCCCAAGCAGATCATTTCCCAAGTCCTCGACAATTGTAAAGGTCTGTGCTCCTTTGTGATGCTTCCTTGATGGTGGAGCATAACATCTAGGAGAATGATGATAGAGAAACCAAAAGTGCAAGTCAGTTTGAAGTCATGTTAGCTGGACATGCCCATAGGAATATCGAGAGGGAAAATTAGAGTCAGAAGGCCAGAGGCAAAAATTGGGGGTTCATCCTGCTTTCCCTAGGTGAACTGTGAATATTGCCAATTGAATTGGTGAAATACCAAGAAAAGCAAAAGGTGAGAATGTTCAAACCCAGTGAAGAAGGTGAAGTCATCTGAGATGATTTCTTTATATGAGCAGCAACCAGAGGAGGTGGGTGGGGTTGCCAGAGTTAGAGTCTGAGGGGAAAGGAGGCACTTTGGAATGACTGTTTTTAATGCTAAGAAACTGGCATTAATAACGAATATTAGTGAAGTTCAAACTGAAATTAAATAGTGTATGCTGCTTAAGTGTGCTGTCAGTTTATGAACTTCCTCTAGCCACTTAGCTTAAATGAAGAAAAAAAGATCAGCATACAGATCAGCAGCTTGAGTGCCAGAGTGTAGCAAAAGCTTAATAGGGACAGAATCCCGATAATGACAACGCAGGGGTGGGTTTGAATTTTTCAGCTCTTGGTCTTCCAGACTAGTTTCTCTTTTACTGATTCACTGGTTTCTATTTTCTTGGTTATTATTTTCATAATTCAGAGGAAAATGTTATTTTTTTCTCTTTTGAATGTGTCTCCAAACTGGTTAGATATAAATGGAGTAGGCAGTATAGGGAAATTTAAAGGCAGAAAATTGGATCCATGATTATTGGGGAGTAATTGGTGAACTGCAAAGAAGGTATGGTAGGAGGAGGATAGTTCAGATTCTAAGTCTCCTATCAAGACAAACAAGGTCTTCCCTGCTTACTGCCTGTAAAATGGTGCACACTCAATATGCACAAATATATTTTCACTCCCACACTACTACCTCTTGCACACAGATGCTTAAAGTAAGAGAGAATCTGGAAACCTAGACCCTGAGACCACCTTGTGATTCCCAGGATGGCAGCTCAATGAACCATGAAGATAGGTAAACTGAGGTCTTAACCCTGATACAGCAAATGGATCTTTTCTAAGTACTGATCTTGCTAAGTGCATCATCATAGCTATATACATTGTTTATACACATTCACACATTTGCCTGCAGGATTTTGGAAGGGCATTTACAAACCCTTACTTTCTTAGAAACAGCCAGGTGTAAGCCTCTGAGTTCAGATATCTACATGTTGTCAAGAAAAGTGGTAACAGAGGAAATGGGGAAAAAAGGGGGCATCCCCTTTACCTTCCTCAGAGTGGTGTAGAGGTTTCCTGGAGTCTTGCTGGTGATCCCAGAAGGGGCTGTCTCCTCAGGTTGGATTCTTTTCTCTCTTCCAAATAATATAAGGTTTTGCCAAGTTCTGTACTTCAGATTGGCAGTAATAAACTGAAATCAGGATGAGTTTGAAATCTTACTGTTAAGGTGACTACACTGTTGTTCCCTTTTTTTGCATTGTAATCACTGGGATCTGTATATTGTTCCATATGTATAATTATACTTGATCCTTAATGGAAGTCTGCATAATCAGTTAAAAACAACTCATAGTGCCTCCCTATTTCAACCACTTTTAGCAGGTTGCTGGATTCCTGACCCATTTTCTAAGCCCAAGTATTTTATTGTAAGTTGAGACATTGTCCATTTTTCCTGAGGCCCTGAAAGTCTGTATCACAGCCTGCCTACTCATGAAGAGAAGGAATCGAGGGCTGTCTACACAGAAGGGACTAGAGAGACTAAGAAACTGCTCTTCTTCAGTGACCTTTTTCTTAAAACATTGCATTGGCCTTTGTTCACTCAAATGTATCAAAGAGTAAAGAACAAATTATGAGTCTACAAATCATGCAGGAGACCGTCAGAGTGCTTTGATTTTCCCAGGTGTGGAAGGCTGTAGCACCCTGCCTGACTGTCCTACTCCAAAGGCATATTTTATACCTTAGCTTATGTGTCTCATTTGAACACTACTGAAGTTGTTGTCCTGTTCTGAATGTATCTCTCTACCTTCTGAAGACTAGGGTTCTGATTCAGAAAATAAATACTTTTAGATTTGACTATAAAATGACAAGTCTTTTAAATGTGACAGGGCTTCTCTTCATGCTGTCATTTCAGGTAAGTTGTCCTGATAGAGCGTCATGTTTGTCTCCTGGGGTCGTCTAGCTGCTTGCTTTCCTTGGCTAATGAGAAGCCCAGAGGTGAGGAGTCTGGGACTAGTGTAGCGTTTTCAGTATGGTCAGAATCCCACGTTCCTTCTGTCTGTTCCACCATCCTCAGTGTATATGATGAATTTCCTCTTGGCCCCACCTGAGGCAGGAAGAAGGCAGGTGTGATGTGTTTGCATAGAATCGCAGAACTCACGCTGTTAACTCCACAGACGCCTACATCTCTGAGGAGCTGGAAGTGGTTTCAGTTGAACAAATATCCGCCCTGCATAGAAATTGGGTTCTAGGTGTGACCGAGAAACAGTGTGTGT